ATATGTATGGTTCTTAGCTGACAATATCTACAAAATACTTTGATAGAAACATTTGCCAGGAACATATAATACTGTTAAGTTAGACTGCTATATGATCGTTCCATACTAAAGGATCACATAACTACATTCTTCTTAAAACAGGCTCAACCTTCAGTTAAGGACTATAAACACATAAATGCATAGACCTCAACTATAACACACACTATTCCTAACAAACTAAATAACTAACTATATTAAATAATTGACTATAATTATAGATTAGAAATGATTCTCTTTATAAACAATATTTCTTATCTCTTATTTAATTTTTTACTGCATTTCCAAGTGGTATATTTTAGTCGGGGAAGCCATTGACCCACTGACCTCTTGGCTATGAAATATGGTGCACTTAAACACCTGCTTACGGAGCACATTCACATGGTTAATTTTAAGCTGACTTATGCTGAGTCTCAATATACAGATTGTGGAGAGTCAGAATTATTATAGAACACAGACGTCTGTTATAAGCTAAATTAATTAATTCAACTAGGAATGTCTATATAGCTGGAATACATGTTGTTTACAATTCTACGCTCATGAGCCACATAGACAAAATGGGATTTACTAAAGAAGTAGAGACTTCACTTTGCAAAATGAATGTTTACTAAGCTTAGTAGAACAGTGAAGCTGTGAGTACCCGATCATGTAAAATGGAAATAAGAAAAAAATAGAGTATTTTCCTGCACATTATTGAATGACTGAAGTGAGCACAAATTAACCATATTTACAGTGCTCGAATATCTGCTGTTATATGAACGTAGGCAGCCTCTGCTCCATTTAAACCTCCTCTACTCCTTCAGTAAATTGAATGTCATCTCCCTATCTGTAACGGTTAGGTATATGGGTTACATTGAGATTAAGGATCAGTAAGTGATTTATGTTATCAGGGGTGATAAATTATACTTTTTGGTGGGTTTTAAAAGAAGGATATATAATGTATATGGTAAAATTTGGTATTACAAAAAAATTTGCATGTCAACATTTCTGGGAATAAAACCCATGCACCGGCCAATTTTATTAATGTGAAATGTGCACATCTCTGCTGTTACATCAGAGTAGCCAGGGGCTCTGAAGAAACAGATTTAGTTCATTGGTGTCCACATAATGCTGAAAACTCTGTAAATCTTCATGATGCTTTAGTCCCGTTTTCTCCCCAAAACTGTTGATTTTCTAAGTTTTTACCCTGTGCTATCTCTTGCAGGAAAAAACAATTAGTAACTTAAGGCTTACTCTTTCGGAACTGGAGGCCACTGTTGAGTAAGACATTCTATTTCCTATAAATGCTATAGAGTTTAATAGTAATGTATATTATATCATTTTTTGAAGCAGGTTGGAATATAACCATTGTGCCCTGAGTGTTTTGTCATGCCACCTTGGTCAGTTTTGAAGTTTTTGAAAACCATACAAATAAAACAAAACCTGTAATTTACGCCTTCTGCTGGCACCATGTCACTGCTATAAAGTTCTGCTCATATGGATAGTTGGGTTTATATAGATCTAGTGTTAAATATTGAAACATTGTAAGGAATATAAAGCAAGGTGCAAACTGTTCTCAGACTCATGGCTAGCTTAAGTCCCCAAGGAGCTTAAAGTATACAGCCCTGGCCAAACGTTTTGAGAATGACACAAATATTAATTTTCACAGTCTGCTGCTTCAGTGTTTTTAGATCTTTTTGCCAGATGTTACTATGATATGCTGAAGTACAAGCATTTCATAAGTGTCAAAGGCTTTTTATTGACAATTACATTACGTTTTTGCAAAGAGTCAATATTTGTAGTGTTGACCCTTCTTTTTCAAGACCTCTGCAGTTCGCCCTGGCATGCTGTCAATCAACTTCTGGGTCACATCCTGACTGATGGCAGCCCATTCTTGCATAATCAATGCGTGGAGTTTGTCAGAATTTGTGGGGTCTCTTTTGTTCACCCACCTGAGGATTGACCACAAGTTCTCAATGGGATTAAGGTCTGGGGAAATTCCTGGCCATGGACCCAAAGTTTCGATGTTTGTTTTTTTTTTTTCCCCAAGCCACTTGATTATCACTTTTGCCTTATGGCAAGGTGCTCCATCATTCTGGAAAAGGCATTGTTCATCACCAGCTCTTCTTGGTTGGATGGGAGAAGTTGTTCTCTGAGAATGTTTGTTTGTTTTTGTACCATTCTTCATTCATGGCTGTGTTCTTAGGCTAAATTGTGAATGAGCCCACTCCCCTGGCTGAGAAGCAACCCCACACATGAATGGTTTCAGGATGCTTTATTGTTGACATGACACAGGACTGATGGTAGAGCTCACCTTTTCTTCTCCAGACAAGGTTTTTTCTGGATGCCTCAAACAATCAGAAAGAGCATTCATCAGAGAAAATGACTTTACCCCAGTCCTAAGCAGTCCAATCCCTGTACCTTTTGCAGAATATCAGTCTGTCCCTGATGTTTTTCCTGGAGAGAAATGGCTTCTTTGCTGCCCTTCTTGACACCAGGCCATCCTCCAAAAGTCTTTACCTCACTGTGAATGCAGATGTACACACACCTGCCTGCTGCCATTGCTGAGCAAGCTCTGCACTGGTGGTGCCCTGATCCCGCAACTGAATAAAGTTTAGGAGACGGTCCTGCCGCTTGCTGGACTTTCTTGGACTCACTGAAGTCACCTTCACAACAATTGAACCTCTCTACTTGAAGTTTTTGATGATCCAATAAATGGTTGATTTAGGTGCAATCTTAGCAGCAATATCGTTGCCTGTAATGATGACTGCGCATGTTTCTTTGCTGGTAACAATGGTTAACAGAGGAAGAACAATCATTTCAAGCACCACCTTTCCTTTTAAAGCTTCCAGTCTGTTGTTCTAACTCAATCAGCATGACCGAGTGTTCATCAGACTTGTCCTTATCAACACTGGCACCATATTAACGAGAGAATCACTGACATGATGTCAGCTGGTCCTTTTGTGCCAGGGCTGAAATGCAGTAGAAAATGTATTTTCTTTGGGGGGGGGGGGGAGGGGGGGAGATTAAGTTCATTTTCATGACAAAGAGGAACTTTGCAATTAGTTACAATTCATCTGATCACTCTTCATAACATTCTGGAGTATATGCAAATTGTCATAAACACACTGTGGGTGTGTGTATGTGTGTGTGTGTATGTATGTATATATATATATATATATATATATATATATATATATATATATATATATATATATTTTATTTATTTTTTTTATTTTTTATTTTTTTACAGTTAGGTCAATATGTATTTGGACATGGGCACAATTTTTATACTTTTGGCTCTGTATGCCACCAGAATAAATTAAAACTAACCAATCCAAATGAATTTGAAGTGCAAAATGGCCAGGATAAAATACCACCAAAAGAAAGCTCAATATGTGGGGAAACAATGACTTTAATTTATGTACAGCTTTGCACGACTGCTCAATTGTCCGTTAAAATAACGCAGTGCCGTATAGCAAAAAATGGCCTGGTCATGAAGCGGGGTAAATCTTCCGGAGGTCAAGTGGTTCAGTTATATTTTCAATATAAATACCAAAATGTCACCATTTCGGCCAGGGTATGCAAACTTTTGAGCACAAGTGTGTGTGTGTGTGTGGTATTTTATATTTATATACAGTATCTCCCAGAAGTGAGTACACCCCTCACATTTTTTGTAAATATTTTATTATATCTTTTCATGTGACAATACTGAAGAAATGACATTTTGCTACAATGTAAAGTAGTAGTGTGTACAGCTTGTATAACAGTGTAAATTTGCTGTCCCCTCAAAATAACTCAACACACAGCCATTAATGTCTAAACTGCTGGCAACAAAAGTGAGTACACCCCTAAGTGAAAATGTCCAAACTGAGAACTGTACCAGATTACTAGCCTGGCTGGTAGGCAATGCAGTTTTCTGTTTGTAAGAATTATGTATTACCAACAGAAAAATGGAAATTATTTTGTGGCTTTATTCATATGAATCATGAGACCTCAAACTTCTATTCTTCATGATCATAAATTAACCAGCATGTACTAGTTTACTTTCTGACACGTCTGCATGTATGTCTTTTGCTGTAAAATCTAAGACACGCTTGATTAAATTTTACTCGAAAAATATAATGTTCAGAATTTTGGTGCTTCAAATGTTTCTTTAAAATGTGTTTTGTGAACTTGTTTCAAACTGTATGTTTAAATGCAACTTATCCTTTGATTGGTAGCCAATTGAAAGATTCTATTGGTAGCAAAGATCGGGAATTATTAAGCCTCCGCCGCCAGCTTGATTCTATTAGTGCAGAGCTTGCAGAAAATGTAAGACTGAGAGAAATTTCCCTGAAGGAGAATAGAAGATTGCAGGATGACCTTGCCACTATGACCAGAGAGAATCAGGTACCCGAACTTAGATTTTCCTCCGTTATGTCAGCAGTACCACCTACCCTACTTCACTTTATAAAGGGAAAAAGCCTTTTAACTTATAATATGTACTTATTAATATCCTAGTTTACAACATAATGCCACACACAGCTGTAGATAGTCTATGTTGATGTAGACGAGTTCTAGCTTACATTACAAAAATTGAGCACACACAAAAAAGATACATCTTTTAGTGTGTTGATTTTTTGTTTTTGTTTTTTTTTTTTTTTTCCCCCTTTTCTCTTTTTTGGGCTTCACTGGCACCGCAAATTCTCTTTCCCAGCAACAGGCTAAATATAAAGACCTCAGTTTTTTGTGTCTGTCTCCAGTCCTACACGCCCTTAGCACAATCACAACCACTGCTCTCCAGTTACCAACTTTCACATTCCTTATGTTTTTGTTTTTTTTTTTTTTTTTTTTTTTTTTTTTTTTTTATTACTGTAACTGCAAAACTTGTTGTTGCACAGTAAACCTTTGCTGTGCTATTGTACCATCCTAGAAAAGTGACTGTTGTTTAGTGATTCATTTTCTTATTTCTCTAGACAGTTGCTTTGGAGTTCGAAAATGCAATGCATGAAAAAGAAGAATTAAAGCTAAGAGTTCATGGCTATATCTCAGAGGTTGCCAGAATTGAAACATTAATGGCAGCCAAGGTCAGTATATTGGTCTTCACTTCTGATAACCTACATTCTAGATGTACAGTAGTGGCATATCTTGACAGCCTCATCTTAATAAATACGGTCCTCTACACTTGTGACTGAAATAACCATCCAGGGACAATAGTCTACCGTATTATGTGGGGAGCAGTGGATATGGTGGTTTGTAAGCCACATAGATGCTCTGCGAATATCCTCAAATTGGCATTTTCTGTCCAACTCAAATGATATTGAACCAGAAAAACTGTGTAAGAGTCTGTAGTATCTATCTATTATCTCTTGGTGATTGATAGGGAGAACACATCCTAGCCAGGTCTTTTGTTTCTGCTCTGGTTATGCAGTGATTGTAGTGTGCCAGGTTGTCCCACTGCTTAAAGCAGGGGTAGGCAACCTTAAAGGAGTGGAGATATACCTTAACAACATAGGAGAAGTCAAAGATCACCGGGCAGAGTGTCGCCTCCTCATGCCTGATTTAAACCTCTTATTTCCATACGAACGTGTCCCTTGCATTGCACAGAAATCATGGGTTTAATTTAGATGGTGAGGAGGCACCACCTGTCAAACACACTTGGAGCGCTTTTCAGAGGAGCAGCAGTGCCTGCTGCACGTGTAAATTAGTCCTTAGTTGCATTCGGCAGTGGCACCCTTTCAGAAGGTGCGCCAAACCCACAGGATATAATAGAAGTCTATGGCTAAGCGCAGCAAACCTGCAGGAAAACTGCAGGTACTCTGCACTGCACCCACTGTGTGGGTATATCACAGTGCATCAGTGTGAGAGCAGTGCTATACTATTATGCCCAGTGTATTGCTTCACACTGCCTGAAGATATTTTCTTTCCTGCTGCTGGCACCACTCTGGAGACCACCAGCCAGGATAAGAGGTGAAGAGCAGTTGGTATCCCTCCTCGTGAGACAGGAGCCAGCACTGCAGAGGAGGCATTGGCTTATATGGCTCTTGCTCCCTACTACAGCTCCAACTTTACAAGTAGTTCTCTGCATTGCACATGATGCTCTAGGATGGCGGGTCAACAAGCCCAGACTGCGATCTACCAGTCACCTGGCCAAGATCTACTGGTAGATCATGATCTACAGGTTGCTGACCTCCAGCTTAGTGTTAATAAACCCAGGACCCTGCATTTACTATATCTGATCTTCCACAGTACACACAACATGGAAATGCAATTATTTTAGTAAATATAAACTTCTAAATACCTTTTCTCATCAGCAATTAGAGCAGTCTTGTAACTTCTGTCAGTGTCCAGCAGAGCACCGGTTAAAGGTTGTAGGAGGAGTTTTCGTTCTCCTCTGTCTGAGACTGCAGGACCCCTGGCCTACCGCCTGGACAGCGCTGATTGGCCCTGTGCTAATCACATGAACCCTTCCAAGCAAACAAAAATACTCTAGCAATACACACCAAACTGAGCATGTGCAGCTTGCCCCCAAAGCTCTGTTCTATCAGGAGATGAAATGGGGAACGTGGAAGGAGAGGATCAGAGAACACAGGATCAAACATCCTTTTTACACCATGCAGAGGATTAACCACCTAAGTTGCACAGTGAGTATAATAAACATGCTTTACTGCATATACAGACTGATTTTACTCTTGTGGGTTTAGTAACACTTTAAACCAGTATTCAACCCAAAAACAAAAATGTGCATTATTTCAGCTTCGCAATCAAATGTGCTGAATGCATTTGTTTTCTTTTTCCTTTGTTTTTTCTGGTGATCATGCCAGTAATGCACTTCCTGTCTTAGGGTGTCTCCTGTGTTAGGCTGGATGTTGGCGCAACACAGCCACCCTTGGACATTAGCATTGTAATTGGGGAAGAGGGTAGTGTTAGATGTACTAGCAGATTTAGATACATAAAGTGTTACTAAACCCACAACAGTAAAATCAGTCTGTATATGCAGTAAAGCATGCTTGTTATACTCATTGTAGAATCTAAGGTGTTAATCCTCTGCATTGTGTAAAAAAGGCCCTTTGATCCTTTCTTCTCTGTTCCTCCCCTTTTTCAAGCGACCACCTTTTATCTCCTGATAAGACAGACTGAACCGTAGGCATTTTGCACATGCTCAGTTTGGTGTGTTTTGCTAGAGAGGTTTTTTTTTTCTTGGGAGAGTTCATGTGATCAGCACAAGGCCGATCAGCACAGGGCCAATCAGCACTGGTCAGATAGAGGTCAGGTGTTTTGCATCCTCCTAGAACAGAAAGAAAACTCCTCCTACAAGCTTTAGCTAGTGCTGGGCTGGACACTGATAGAAGCCACAAGACTGCTCTAACTGCTGAGGAGAAATGTATTTAGTAGTTTATATTTACAACAAATTAAAGCTAAATTTCTGCTAACACTTTGTAAGCATTACGTTTTTGGTTTTTTTTTTTATTTTGAGATAAAAGTTTAATATAAATGAATAAAGCTGACCATTGTAAGCAACCCAGTCTGTGTTCAGAACAGAATTTAGATGGTCTGCATAATAAAACTTTTAGTGCTGTAATTTAGTTTTCCTTAATGTGTCTGAGCCAGTTTGATATTTTTCAACCTCCTTTAGCAGACAAAGCAACAGAGGAATGAAACAAACCATTTACTACTGCCAGGGTTCTTACAATGGTTCGCTTTTATTAATTTATGTAAAACCTTTATCCCAAAAATGGGAAAAAATATTTGCTGTCACTGCTTAAAAAATGTTTGCTTGAGTTCTTCTTCTCAGTTTCTTAGTCACGTACATCTAAATCTGCTAGTCCAACTCTGACACTACCCTCTCCCCAGACTGACAATGCTGCTATCCAAAGGTGTCTGCTTTACTACTTCATCCAGAATGCAGACACCCTAAGACAGGAGGTGTTACTGGCTGGGTCATCAGGTGAAATACAGGGGGGGGAAATCCTAATAAAAAAGGAAAACTAATGCTGTCACCGCATCTAAAGACTGGTAAGCTACAATATATTACATTTGTGTTTTGGGTTTAATACCCCTTTAAGTTTATATTCATATTCCTGTAAAAGGTATTGGACCGTAGATGACTGCATAAGAGAGAGGACCTTATTTTACTTTTCTATTTAATCAGTTAATCAGTATTGTCTTTTTATTTTTCAGGAGCAAGAGAATCGAGAGCTTCTAGATCAGTTCAGAATGATGCACAGCCAGGCTGAAGAATGGGAAGTTAAGGCACAAAACGCTGTAGGTGAGAGTAGCTCTGTAAAAATGGAGTTACTATCTGTTGATACAGATAGAAGACATTTGCGAGAAAGAGTGGAAGACCTGGAGAGCGAAGTCCGAGAGGTAAGAAGGATAGAAAATTCTGGAAAATTCTATCTATTACCAGAAATTCCTTTTCTCCTGGTTTTCTAATTTGTAGGTCTGAAAGAAAGAGAACCAATGTTTTTGTTCCCTCTTGCAGCACATGAATGCTCACCAGGCTTATGAAGCTCAGATATCATCCATGACTAAAGCAGTGTCCAAATTAGAGGAGCAACTCCGACATGAACTGGATGAAAAGGCTTTGATCCTGTCTGACTTGGCATCAGTCAGAGAGCTGTGCGTAAAACTGGACTCTAGCAAAGAGCAGTTCTCCCGGCAGCTAACTGCTCGAAACATGGAATATGAAAGAGTAAGTGTTCCTACTCAGAATTATCAGCCTGCTGAATGTTTGCAACTTTCCTGTAATATGCTGGAAGATACCAGTTTTGATACTAGAACATTTTCAGTGCCAGGAAAAAGTATTTTTGCACTTTTTGTCAAGCAATTTGAGTAGCCTAGCTATATACGTGATTTTGCATTTCCGCGTAGGGGACGCGCGCGCGCCCTACCAGGGCCGCCATTCGGCGCCTCAGCTGTCAAACACAGGGTCCTGGCCGGTGATTGCTGAGCTTCTCCGACGGAGGGGGGAGAACTGTTTGTAAACGAGTTCTCTCCCCTGTCAGCTCCTGCACACTGATTTGCATTGCTCTGCATAGCCATGCAAAGCAGTGTGCTTACAGTGAAGCACAAACACAGCCCAGTATGTGAAACTGCACACAGTTAACCCTTTGATCGCTCCATATGTTAACCTCTTCCTGCCCAGTGCCATTAATACAGTGTCAGTGCTTTTTTATTAGCACTGATCACTGTATTGGTGTCACTAGGGATGTCAGTGACACAAAGTCAGTTCCCCCTTGTGTCAGAATGCCCGCCGCAGTCCTGCTATAAGTCGCTGATCGCCGCCATTACTAGTAAAAATTTTAGAAAAAATCCCAGTATATATACCGCCATTTGTAAACGCAATAACTTTCACGTAAACCAAATAATGTACACGTAATGGGATATTTTTTTTAGCGGAGACATGTAGAAGAATACATTTTTGGCCTAAATTTTATGACGAAATTTAGATTTTTTTTTTTTTTAATTTTTTAAAACAATTTTGCTGGACATGTTTAAAAGCAAAAAGTCAAAAATATTTTTCTCAAATTGTAGGTCATTCTTCTTTTTTTTTTTTTTTTTTTTTTTTTTTTTTTTATGGGGCAAAAAGTAAAAACTGCTAAGACGATCAAATACCACCGAAGCAAAGCTCTATTTGTTGGGAAAAAAAGGACGTAAATTTACTTTGGGTACAGCATTGCATGACCGCGCAAATGTCAATTAAAGTAACGCAGTGCCGTAATGCAAAAAGTGGCCTGGTCAGGAAGGGGGTAAATCCTCTGGAGGGCAAGTGGTTACAACACTTGATCAGCATCCTTCTTACCTATGTGATCTACTAATGTACACTGGTTATTTAACCACCAAATGGATACAGTCTCAGCAGAAGAGTACAGATGCAACTCTTTTTTTGATGATGCTCAATGTGGGCGCCTTCATAATGCCAAAGTCTTCAGTTTGTTTTTTTATATGTGTGTTTTGTGTCCCTACAGCTCATGGGTGAATTGGATGATACAAAATCAGAAACTGAACTTCTTAAGAAGCAATTGGCTAGTGAGAGGCTTACTATTAAGAACTTGGAAACTTTGCTTGCCACCAATAGAGAGAGGGAGTTTCAGAGTCATCTTACTACCCATGAGAAGGACTCTGAGATTCAGCTGCTGAAAGACAAACTTACCCTTTCTGAGAGTAAACTGTAAGTATATTTCCTGCACTTTAAAGGGAATGAAGAACCTTTTTGACATTTTTAAGAATAAAATATAAACTAATAACTTTCTGAAAAATAGCAATATGTGTTAATAATTTAAACAAACTTTCTTTCTATAAACTGTAGTTTGATATGTACATGTAAAAGTGATATTTGCTGCCTATGTGTTCAGCCTCTCTTTCAATTTGCAGTATTATAGAATGGGTTTGCTTCCTTTCTGTAATACAAGTCTGTGTCAGCCACTTCATTGTAAACAATGGGGTAGATTAACTAAAACTAGTGAGCTCAGAATCTGGTGCAGATGTGCATGGTAGCCAGTCGTCTTCTAATTTCAACTTGTTCAGTTAAGCTTTGGCAATAAAACCTGGAAGATGACTGGTTTCTATGCAGAGCTGCCCCAGATTTTGCACTTTCGAGTTTTAGTATGTGTGCTGGTGTCTCTTTTGCAGGTTTGTACAGTGTGTTGATTTACCTGATTGTGTTGCAGAAAAGTGCAGCATGTCTGCAATTTTCCACTTCACACCAACATTGTGTTGGGAACAGGACACATGGGAAAAAAATTTCTAATTTTTGGTAAACACTGTATTAAATCAGAATATGTTTACCGAAAGTACAGTATACTTTAGAATTGAAACCTTTAAGAACTGTCTTCACTCCACACATTATATCTATACCAACACAACACATGCAGATCTTACTCCTACTTGGGTTGTTTGAATTCTCAAATGAATAAATTTACTCTTGGATTCTATGTGGCCTAAATTTGTCTGGGAACTTAAGTATGGAAGTTAAATCACAGCCAGTGAATGGAGATCTCTTTTAAAGATCTTGATAATTAAAGGATAATTTACAGTCTTTTTTTATGCTGTCAGTCACTGAACTCCTGCATGCTGGTTGGTGAGTTAATTCTGTGCCTATTTCTCAACGTTTGGATTATTTCAAATCAACAGAAACAACTTGCATAATTTTTCATGCACACCAGCAAGAAACTAGTAATGGGTGACTCATACTCTAAGGATAGAAAAGCTTGGATTCCAGTCTGAAGATTGCTAGATTTATATGTATTTAAATAGCTCTGTGTTAATGCATGCATCTATTGAATCTAATTAATCATTTGGGATTTTTGTATTGCCTGACAAACTAGTATATACGCAAATGAATAATTGGAATTCAAGAACCTCTTGTGAGTGTGTAAAAAGCTGAATGCAAATTGCTATCAGGTGTGAACAGCACCTACATTTTCTGACTTTTGAGTTCTGATTTAAGCTGAACTTTTTCTGAATGGTCTTTTTCTGGTTTATAGCAACTCCCAGTCTCGAGAAGTGGCTATGCTCCGAAATAAACTTACACAGTTGCAGTCTGACTATGATGTTGCAAGACGACAACTCACTACAGAAAAGTTTGAAAGGTAATCATGGTCAGAGGATATATCCTAGCATATGAAGGGAGTCAAAGTAGTCTTATGTTCTGCTAAACAAACAAAAAAAAAAAGAAAAAGGTGGTTAAAATTTGGTTTCTTTCTACCACAGGGAGCGAGCAGTTCAGGAATTACGCAGACATGGGCTTTCCACGTCATCATTGCGGTTCATCACCACTAACATCCACAATGAAATCACTTTCTCTATCTCCAGAACGCTCCATATTAAGATCTGTAGATCGAGCCTCTGATAAAACAGCAGAAAAGTAAGTCTGACTTTGCAGTTAGGTTACTGTAATTTTTTTCTTTCCCCCTCCCTGACTAAAGGTACAATCCTGACTGAAAATTAGGCTTTCATAGGTGTGGAGGCAGTTTTTCATCCATCTTGGTCATTTGAGAATCCCTTTCCACCTACCTCTCTGTCACAATATTTATTTCGTACAAGTAGCTTTAGCTCTCCTGAATCAAAGTGTCAATATTAGGACATTTCACTCAGCCACCAATCAGTTTTAAACCATGCTTGGAAATTTGAATGTGATCAATAATAAAGGCAAGAGAGAAAGTAACACAACACATGCCTTCTAATGATGGTAGGTGCTTTCTAGAATGTAGCTTACACAGAGTCCTTAAGAGACCTAGAGTGACTCCTGTAAAATAAATAGAATTTTACTTTACTTGAACTAACGAAAACCAACATTTGCAGAATGCCTTATACCCACCCTAGCCTTGTAGGTGTTGAAAGGCTTTGATCCAGAGAAGCTCTGGGCCCAGTGAACTAATTTTTGCAGCGCCATCACATCAATTAGCTATTTATACTTGCAGCCAAATGCATGTGGGACAAAATGTTTATATCTCATAAAGGTGTGTGTAAGATGACGCAGGAGGTGCAATATGGGAAGAGGACTCGATCATATGGGGCACAAAGGCAATTATGAAGAAGTTCTCTGTGCAGAGTCTTCAGACTGTATGGTACATACAATATGGAGAATTCTGCACACTTCTTGCAGCACCTCTGAAAGACTGAAGAATTCTCTAGAACAGCACGTAAACAAAGCAGAGTGCGCAGACTAAGTGTAGTGGGTATCATGCAATTTGTTAAACCAAAGACATGAATATAAAATTGCTTATCGTCAGTCGGTGGTCTCATCCAGATAGGGCATCAATAAGCCATCAGGACAGAGCATAGATATTTGCAGGAGAGACACCTGTAATAAAAGAGAAGACAGCAAGAGGTTGCTAAGTGCAGCAGAGAGGACAGTGGAATAGGACCAGGTAAATTGGCAACTCACTTTGGTATTTTAAGGATCGAATGTAATGGTACTAGTTATGGTCACCAGACAGTCCTGCTTCTGCTGTAATTTCGGGTCCAGGAACTGAACTGCCACTTCTCAGTGGTTGCATATCCTGGGATATCATGCAACCACTAAGCATCAGCAGCTCAGCCCCTGGATCTGGAACTACTGCAGCAGCAGGACTGTCTGGTGGATAGTCCCTTTTGGCTAACGCCTTAATGTTTTCTGTCGAATTTCACAAAGGGTTTCAATGATTTCCTATTTAAAAAAGGTAAGCTAAATGCCTTTTCCATAATTCCACTGGATCTATGGCGAGAATTGTTACTTTACTTAATTAGTTTAACCATTTGAATGCCGGGCAATTTTACACCTTCCTGCCCAGGCCATTTTTCAGGTTTCAGCGCTCCCACACTTTGAATGACAATTGCGCGGTCATACAACATTGTACCCAAACTAAAATGTTATCATTTTCTTCACACAACTAGAGCTTTCTTTTGGTGGTATTTAATCACCACTGGGGTGTTTATTTTCTGCTAAATTATCAAAAAAAGACCGAAAATTTGGAAAAAAAACACGTTTTTCTTTGTTACTGTTACAAAAGTTTGCAAGTAAATAATTGTTCTTCATAAATTTAGGCCGAGATGTATTCTGCTACATATCTTTGGTAAAAATAACCCAAATTAGGATGTATTTTTTAGTTTGTAGGAAGGTTATAGAGTTCACAAACTATGGTATAGATCTGAAAATTGATCAATCCTGAAGTACTGACAGCCAATCTAATTTCTTGAGGTCCAAGAATGTCAGAATAGTACAGATATCCCCCAAATGACCCCTTTTTGCAGAGTAGACAGTCCGACATACTTCATAAGAGGCATGGTGAGTTTTTTGAAGTTGTATTTTTTTTTGTCATTTTTTTGGAAAACGAAAAAATGCAAAAAATTATTTTCACTTTTTTTTTTTTTTTTTTTTTTTTTAACATACTGTCACCAGTGCAGTACAGCGTCTTCATATAACTGGCATGGCAGTGATCAGGGACACTGACTGGTGACAGTATGAAAAAATTATATATATATTTTTATTTTTTTTTTTTAATTTTTATTACATTTTTTTTTCTTTTTTTTTTAAGATTTTTTTTTTTTCATATTTCACTATGTCCAAAGTAGTACCATTGTACTACTTTGGAGAAGTGATCAGTATTTTTTTTTTTTTTTTTTTTTTACACAAGCATTTACCTGAATGACATCGATTCATTCAGGGGTTTTTTTTTTTTTTTTTGTGCTTCGCTGTGATTTGGCCACAGCTAATCACATGACATGTGCATGTGATTAGCTGTGACCATTCACAGCTAGACAGTAGTATACAATGGATGGCATGAATGAAGCCATCCATTGTATACAACTGTCATGTGACCTGCTGTGATTGGCCGATACTCAGATCTGTCATCGGCCGTGTCCGAGGTACACGGCCGGTGACAGATCGTGCCGCTGCGCGGCACTGCAGGAGCACAGACTGTGCATGTGCGGGAGGACGCCATTTGGCGTCCAACCCGGAAATGCAGTACATTTTGCCGGCCGCCTTTTGGCTATTGGCCGGGCGTGTACTGGTTAAAGCTACACATTACAGCCACTTTTTAGTTTTACCATCAACTGGTATGCAAGGACCTACCTAATTGGATACATGTTGATAAAAAGGCAACTTTAACCGCTTTCCCGCCGTCCTATAGTAGAACTGCTACATAGTGGCAGGACTGCGCAAAATCACGTGTGTGTGTGTGTGTATATATAATGTATATTTGTGGAGAAAAAAATATATATTTTATGTACAGTGTTGCATGACCACGCAGTTGTCCGTTAAAGTAATGCAGCGCTGTATCACAAAAAATGGCCTGGTCAGGAAGTGGGGTAAATCCTCTGGAAGGCAAGTGGTTAAAGCGGACCATACATGTAGAGGGATACTAAATGTACATGTCATGTATAAACATTCTAATCCTTATAAAAAAAAATATATAATTGAGTGCATGGCCACTTGAGTTGTAAAGACGAATCCCAAAGTTTGCAAAAGCCGAAAGGAATTAACTTGTTTCTTTTCTTTTTAGAAGTGTGAGCTTTAAGGAATGACGGCTGTGAAAAAAAAAAAACACAGAAGGACCAGCAAACATCATTGTTTACATCCGTTTTACAGTTTACCTTGTGTAATCAGTATTGCCTGAAAGCAATTATTTCTGTAATTAGATTGCATTGCCATGTTTCAGTGCATTCCAAAAATTCTGAATACGTACCTCATCTCCACGTACTTAAATATCATGTCTGCATTGTAGCAGAATATTATGAAGAGCTTACTGGAGTATTGGTAAATAAAAAGTTTAATGGGATTTATATGTGGTGCTACAAATAGTCAGTCAAAACCTTGAATACAGCCAACATTCTATTCCGTCCACAGAGTCAGAGTGACTATCATGTTTACAGTGACTGTAATAAACAGAAGTCCTACAACAGAAAGTTATTTCAGTGTTTAACAGAAGTTTTTGGATTTTCAATCTGCACTATACATGTATGAGTTTCTGTAATGTCTTATAATTGATTTTTCTTTTAACTTATGTGAGGTGGAAGAAGGTGTGTCTTTACTGCACTGTGTAACAGAATGCTTCTAGCCTGAGGCCGAGTGGCCAGTTCTCCTGAAATTTTCATATTATGAGGAGCAGCAGTGACTACATCAATTAAAGCTTAATTCCAGAATATTCACAGACGTCCTACCCCCTGTGTAACTAACTACTGATATGGAAAAAATAAAACCTAGCCAAATGCCCATTTTAAAAACTGAAGCCACAGGATGATCGTTTTTCTCTTCTCTTTGATTCCTGTGGTCTTTGGGTGTCTCCATCGCTGTCTGCTTGATGTGGACACCTCCTGTTAGCGCAGTTCACACAATGGCCAGATCCTCTACTATATGCTCCACAGAACTCATGGGGGAATTGAGGGGATGATAATGAGCAGGAAAAAGATGCCTGGTCCCCAGGACAGGATTTAGCTTTGATCATAGAGGAAACTATGACTTTAATCTATTACACTGCTGGATGACTTAGGAAGAGGTGTTTGAAATCAACACTGAGGAGTAAGGAAATTGATGCACAATGCACTATTTAAATTTTTTTTTTTTTCCTTGAGCTGGGCTTTAAATAGTATTTCTTTACCACCTTGTTCGTTTATCACATCATATTCTCTTAAAGTTTCCACTATACTCTTTGCCAGATGTAGTTTTGACACGTGGGAGCTGTAGATACACAAAATGCTCTACAGTTCCCTCTTGGCAATAGGAAAGTATTTCCTACATTGTATGGTGGGTGCCTCTTGGCCATACCCGGAGTAGATAATATTCATAGGCTTGATTGTTTTAATGCTCTGATAGTTGCCCTGAAGGGAGTAATGAAAGTATATGTACAGCTATCAGAGATACCATGCTTGTAATTTGTGTAAACATACCACCTATTAATGTTTTTGCATTACAAAGACTTAAATATATAAATAGTTATTTTTGGAAGAATGCTTACTTGAATAGCTGAAATAAACATGTGATGTCTAAAATGGAACATCTCATTCTTGGGCTGCTACTGTTAAAACTAAAGTCAGCGTTTTAGCCTTTTGTGGTTCTAAGCTGATGCCAGTATATGAATGTAATAGAAGAATACAATGGAATGATGTATTTCAGTGTTACACAAAACAAAAGAATTCTGGTACGAGTTTGAGTATACGGAAGAACGTAGCAGGTACTCCTGTAGCCTACACATTTGGGACTCATTTTTGGCTACAGCTTCCCTATACCAGCTAATGTTATCCTACGTACATGTTATTTTCTTAACATTGCTAACAAAAAAATTCACAGCAGTTATTAAATGTTAAGACCCTTTTCCCCCAGTGTTTGCCTCCATGTAAAATACTGTTGTACAATGTGTTTTTATTCAATATTGGATGCATGTACATTATTACTGCATTGTAAGATAACTCATTTTAAATTGTTACCATATATATTTATTTTTATACTTCATTACTATTTATAATAATAAATGTAAATATTTTAACGGTTATTTTTGTGTGTTTTGGTGTAATCATTGTTGGATTCCAGGTTAAAGCGGTATTAAACCTAAAAACAAAATTGCATTATTGCAGCTTACAGATTCTTCTATGTGTTTGTTACATTAGTTTTCTTTTGTAGTCGTTTTTTTCCCCATTATTTTCACCTGTTAATCCAGCCAGTAAATTGTTACTTTTCAACCTCTTTTAGCAGACCAAGCTGTCCAGCAATTTTCACCTAAATTTTTAATTTATGTAAAACATGTATTCCAGAAGGGGAGAAAGATATATGTTACTGCTTAAAAAGTGTTAGCAAGAGTTTGGCTTTACATTGTAGTGAAATCCACCTAAATCTACTAGTGAATCTAAAGTTTGCCATATATGGGTCATTTTTTTTTTTTTTTCTTGTTCAGCCAGTGGGGTGAACAAAACAAAAAACTGAACAGATCCCCCCCTATTCACACATTTGAGGTGGATGCACTATTGTATTCTGATAGCGGGCAGACTTTATGTGCACTGTTAGTATCCCAGGCTGCCCCCACACAATACATAAAAAGGGGTGGGAAGACCAGTCGCAGCACAGAGCATGTCTTGTGGAACTACAGGCTGCAGCAGTGCTATCCTGGTGGAATTACTGCTTGCAGCAGAGCTCCCCTTGTGGTGGGTCTACAGGTCGCAGCAAGTATTGAGGGGCCAATCCACCTTTCCTTGTGGGGGCAGGGGGCTCTGGCAGATTTAGTGTACTGAAAGCCCAAGGAAGGGTCATGCAGCTTCCAAGCTTACCATTTATCGATGGATCTATATATTTCACGGGCTTATGACCTAAAAGAAAAAAGTTCCACCCTTTCAGGTGACCGCTCATTCCACCAGAAGTGTGGGTGATTCCTGCGCTATTTATCATAAGGTGTTGGTAGCTCAAGTTTGTAAATTTAATACCTGGTCTTTGGTTTTTCCCAAGTGGGTGTTAGAGCTGCTCGGAACGCTACCTTTGGTTGGTGGTTTTGCAGGCTGCTACATGAAGTTCTAGCATGTTCTGGTTTAGTTTGCAGCCAGTTGCCGTGTTGCCCTCCCCATCATTTTCAGTGCTTTGGGACATCCCTATCGTAATAGATGTGAAAATGCTCTATGTCCCATGAAATACAATAAAGAAAATGGCATTTTTAGTTTTACCAATACTATACTATCGAAAGCCAGTAAAAGTGCCTTGATCACCAGCAAGCACCAATACAGTGTGATCTAGTACCAATATAAGCAATCGTGCCCTCATTAGCAGTCAGCATCAGTACATTGTTCATTTACCAGTTTACTAATACCAGTGTGGTCTGATCGGCAGCCAGTACAGTATTAACCAGTAGATGGCATAGTTGGTAAGGTTGAATAAAGAAACCAGTTCAACCAGTGTGTGTGTTTTGTGTGTCATTACCATTTCCATATCTACGTATATTGCGTTTGCCAAGATGCCCATCTAAAAGTTTTTTTGAAAATGGACATTCCTCGCTGAAACTGCCAGCTATGGATGGGCGTTCAACAGCCTTACTGCTCTAATAATAGACAACTGCTTATGTATTTTAAGATTAAACCGCTGCTCATCCAATTCATCGAGTGGCTGCGTGTTTTCAGAAATGACCTGAGACGGAATAGTTTTCTCCCTATGCTAGAACCGCTATTTACAGTAGATTGTAAGCTCGAAAGAGCAGGGCCCTTGACCCCCTCATGGTTTGTTTTGTTACTGTATTGTCTCATGTTCTGTCCCCCACTATATGTACTATGTACAGCGCTGAGCAAACCTTTTAGTGCTATATACTGTATAATGAGTGGAGATATGATTTTAATATACAAATATTATGAAGTGTCTCTTCTCCAAGGAGAATAAGTTTAAAGCACAACTTTACTCTCTCAATCATCATTGACTATTTGAATCCGTATGCTGCTACCATAAGTAAGTAGATAGGAAAGTATATTATATTTACTTGTTTTAAACTTTTTTTTTTTTTATACATTTCTTTAGTTTCTAGCTTCCACGGCTTGGCAAATGATGTAATACATCACAGAAGTCTTCAGGTGGGGAGGAGGGTTTTTCTCAGCTAAGCAGATCCTTCTGCCTGCATGCCTGATCTAAGGGCATATGGATTCCAAGAAGTAAATGCTACATGAGTTATCTGCTCTTACTCAAGCTGGCCACCACCAAAAAAAGCTAGGGGGTGTTTTTCAAAGTGGTTTCTCAGCAAAATAAAGCATTGAGACATGGATGGATGAATGCGTTTGCTTTTAATAGTAAAAATAAATTAAACAGCACTTTTGGTTTGTGGTGCTTTGATACAGTGTAGTTCTGTTTTCATTATTGTAGTTGCTGCTCAAAACTGAGGTCCTCCAGTCCCCTTCGCTTTGTTGCCCTTGTCTGGATTTTCCCCAGTTCAAGCACATCCTTCCTGAGGACTGGTAACCAGAGTTGGACAGCATAGTCAAGATGTGACCGAACCAGAGTTTTTTGTAGAATTAGTCTTGTCTGTTGAATAGATATCTTTATTGATGTTTGCTAGACGTATGCTAGCCTTGCTTGCTGCAGCTTGGCATTGCATGCTATTGCTGAGCCTGTGATCTACTAGGACTCCTTTTCAATCCTCAATTCCCCCAGGAGGTTCTCCCCCTATTGAGTAACTGGCATTCAAATATTTAGCTCCCAAATGCATTACCTTTTTTCAATAGTAAACCGTAAGTGCTATGTATATTTCTATTATTTGTAATTCTATATCCTACTGTGAAGTTATTGCTCTGCTTAGCTATGTATTCTTAGCAAACACCATGATTGAAGTATTTATACCAACCTCAATATAATTTATGAGCAAATGAAACAGAATTGGCCCCAGGACAGAACCGTGGGGTACCCCACTTACAACTCCAGACCATTCAGAAGATACAATATTTTTCCCCACCCTCTGGACATGCTCTGATAACCATTTTTAATCCATGGAAATACATCATTGTCTATGCCAACAGTCCTCAATTTGTAAATTACACTTTTATGGTCAACTGTATCATATGCTTTAGCA